AACGAGGCGCTACGCGCCTCGTTGGCTATCTATCATCTCAATATCCAACGCGCGCTCGTGGAATAATTGTTAAATATCTACAATTCATATCTAATATATTATATAATCGTACCTACATATATATATATATATATCTTTACATTTTTTTCTTAAATTTAGATGTTCTTAAGTTTCTCCAATACTTGTATTTAGGTAATTCTAGTATTTCTTAGCTTGTCGAGCGTTTTTAACATGAACGTCTGGCTCGGAAGATTGCGCAAGCACTTCCCACGTTTTCGACATTAAATAAATTAAAAAAACAAAAAAAACAAAACAAAAACAACAACAAAAAACGGATAGAGATTTATCCCATAGATAGTGTTATGCACTCTTCGAACAACCGAGACCTGCACAATAAAAGATCATAAATGTCAAAAAGTGGTTAGATTATGAGCGACAGGCTCTGCTTAGCGTGCCACATTTTTATTCTTACAAACGTTTGACGTCATCTGTGACGTATTACTGAACAGGTGCACGGCAACATAGTCATAGACGACACATAAACGTCACGATAAAGCAACTGGTTAAAAACATTTCATTGAACCTGAAATACTTGAATATTAAAATAAAGGTCACATACGTGAAGTAAAGTACCCATTTGACAGTATAAGGTATATTTTTTTGCTTTTTTCGATTTTTTTTTTCGTTTTTGGTGGAGAAAACAAAGCGAACACTAAAAACTCAAGATTATGCAGATCTATTCCATTTACCTGCAGAGCCGAAGAGAAATGTTGGTTTCGTTATCAGAACCACTCCACCAAGACATATAAAGGTCGCTGTTGCGTCCATAATATGCCAAGATTCTTTTAGGAAAACGTAGGCAACCAGGGCGGTGAAAATTGGAGTCGTCGATATACAAACGGTTGCGTCTCCTCGTGGTAACTTTATGAACGATCCGTAAATACAGGAGATAGAGGCAAAATTCACTGCACCAAAGCATACGAGGTATGGTCTGTGTTTTCTCTCGCCCAACAAGTCTGCGCGTGCTCAGATGGCGCCAGGAACAACGAAAATGGTTTGGATTATCAGGCGAAAGAAAACGATTTCAAACGCTGGAATCGACGTGTTGGAAAGCTTCGCAAATAGCGAGGCGATCGCGAACAGGACACCAGAGGCTGTGGTGAGGATAAGATCCAGACCAGACTAGAAACAAAGAAGACCACGAGAAGATGGGGGCTTTCGAAGATTCCACAGAGGGAGCCTCTCCGCCAGGCGATTTCTCCAGTTATGGCCGACAATTTCTTTAGGAGACGCGAAATTGCGAAAGCTCTCACTGTCTCTCTCTAATAAGACATACTCGTCTGTTTCTTTGTCGATACTACCAAGACGCCACACTCTTCTAAGCGGAGCATCATCTAGATTTTGATAACTGCTGAGAGTATCTCACCAAAAGGCAGCAGAAAATGGCGAGCTCATTTTTCTATTGCCTTTGATTTCTTTGTTCTTCGCCGAGTGATAAATAATTTTATACCCAGAAAAAAGGAAGGCAACTAAAGGTGAAGTAAAGGAGAGAACTTCACTGGCGGTGAATTTTAAGTAAGTCGCCATGGAAAACTTCCACAGCTCAGCAGTTTCGTCGTCAGCTCGATTTCCGACGTTTTCTCGGGTTCGATCATCATCCTTCCCGAGAGGTCACTTTGAAAAAGGAGCGCAGGCTCATCACGCGAACAGCGGCTACTAATTTAGGTTAGCTTCGTCGGTATCCAGCCCAATCAGCGAAAACCAGGCCCCATAAGGGTACAAGTGACATCGGCTATTGATGATATGATACTTAAAGCTTTTCAGAAGACCGGTGAGTTAAAAAAGAAAAATATAACTGGTATCAATCTTGAGAATAGATGTTTTTGTTTCGACGTTGCAGAATCCAGTGTACAATCAAACCTATGAATATCGAATGGTGGCGTTTTAGAGCTACTCATTTCGTTCGATAAAATGGTCGCAGTTTATTTACATATCTTCCCATGGCATCCAGACCATGCAATTGAGGTGAGTGGTTAGTCAGTTGCGCGGGAAAGTTGTCATTAGTGTCTAGTCTATATTTGATTGGTTGAGAAGGAAGCGTGAGTCTGCTTAATCAATCACAAAAAGATGAAAGGCACATGCAACACAATCCCGTAAAAGGCTGGTTTTCCTACGGATAATAGTTCAAATTTTTGCCTCGGGTTTGCATGGCGTTTATTAAACAAATAAAAGTAGTAGCATCTTTTTATATCGTAATTTAACCCAATTCTAAGCAAATATGTATGCCAGTTCTTAAAATTTCTTGCTTTTAATTGCAAAGTTGTCCTTTGTTTTCTGCGATTATACTTATTCATAAACGAAGTTATTCAGAAAATTATAAGAGCTATTAAAATGTTCAAACTATTCGTTTCAAACAAGCTTGGCCTAAAATCATGCAAAATTCATAACTCAAGCTTGGTTACAGCTTTTGTCCAACCAGTTGAACTGGTGCAAAGAGAAAGATTTCTTTAACTATATACCGCAGAATTCGGCTACATTGAACATAAATGTTTTTGCTATATTATATGCGGCCAGATTTATCTTGAACAAGCCTCTAACTTGTTTTGTTTCAGTGTAAATATAAGAAGTATAAATAAACCGACCATTCAACTGCAGTTTCCTTACTTGCATTTCCTTGCGGTTCTTCAAACTTGGTCACAATCTTAAACTTTTCCTACACCATAATTTGCATATAGAGGATTTTTTTTCCGCTACGCCAACATTTACGCGAGTAAACGAAATTGCTGTCTTTCATTAAAGACAAATTTCCACATAATTTCCCGGGAATAGACCACTTGAACCATTTTCCATGACACCCTCGAACCAACCGTTATCATATTTCTTGACGACGTAAATGATCTTTCCTGCTTGAAATGTAAGCTCGTCGTCTCTTTCCCGAACATATTCATACAAGGTCACGACTGAAAGCAAGAAAACAAATGGCTTCTGAAAAATAATCATATGAAATAAAAGGTCTACCAACATAATTCTGACCTAACCCTAAGCATCAATAACTCGCAGGGAAGGACCCAAGAATCGTTGATGTCAAGGGGGGTAGGGTCCGAAGAATTTTGATATTACATGAGTAGCAAAATAGCCAAACGTGGGATTAAGATGGGGGAGGGGAAGCACTCAACTAGGTGTGCATCCGGCTAGATACTGTAATCCTAAAATTCACGATTTCCTGTGACTAAACGCCCTCTTCGAATAAGCGCCCCTGCTATCGACCAATTCAAATAAACGAGTGATCACGTTGAATCCGTTATTGCGCTATTAATTCGAGGTTAAAGGTATAAAAAAAAGGTGATTACGCCAAAAACCACCCACCTACCTTTTTCTATATAGCTGTTAGGGATGCAAGACTTCTCTTTTCCTGTTAACAAGGAAGGGACCTGGTACAAGTCCTCTTGTGGCACCGGCATTGGTAGTGATGATGGGGATTGGTAGTAGTCTTCCTCATCGGGAGGGGGTGAGGAGGTTGGACTCATTGTGCCTCATAAGAGTAATAAAAAAATCAAAATGTCAGTCAAAAAAGTTCCTATTACTGATAAGAACAATGCAACTTATTGATTCAACAATTCACTAAATTTTCATCTACCTGGCTTGGATAGCTTAGCATTGGCACCATCACTCGGCAAAGGAGGGGGCGGTGGTGGGGCAGGAATTGATCCTCCTGAGCCAGGGGGAATTAGTGAGGATGGAACAACAGTGGGTGTTGGTGGTGGCAGAATTGCCCCTCCTATAGCAGGGGGTGGTGGTGGGGGAGGAGGAACTGCTCCTCCTTTACCAGGGGGTTTTGGTGGAGAAGGAATTGCTCCTCCTACACAAGGGGGTGGTGGTGGGGGAGGGGGAACTGCTCCTCCTTTACCAGAGGGTTTTGGTAAGGAAGGAACTGCTCCTCCTAAACCAGGGGGTGGTGGTGGGGGTGGTATGGCTCCTCCAATACCAGGGGGTGGTGGCGGCGGAGGTGGGAGTGTTCCTCCAATACCAGGAGGTGGTGGAGGGGATGGTACTGATCCTCCAATATCCGGTGGTGGTGGTGGGGGAGGTATCGATCCTCCTATTCCAGGAAGTGGTGGTGGTGGGGGAGGCACAGATCCTCCAATGCCAGGAGGGGGTGGGGGAGCAGGTACCCCTGTTGGGAGTGGTGGAGGAGGAGGGACACTGGCACCACTATCTGCTGGAAATGCAGTTGCCTGGTTTGCCTCTGGTTGGGGTGAGGGCAGGTCTGAACCTGATGAAGGCACAGATGGAGGGGGTACAGGAGGAGGTGGAGGATTTGTGAATTGCGCCCTCCTTGAACTTCCTCTGCCTCCTTTTTTCTTGCTGCCTTGTTGACCTTCTTGAGATCTGCTCTTTGTCTTGGCACCATTCCCTGTAAAAAATGTTAGTAGGAAATGAATGGCTTTGTTGAGTTGATAGGCACAAAACAAATGTGTGATTGAAAAACTTGGTAGTGTTTGGTGAAACTTTAGATAATTTTTTCTCCATGTAACAATGGCTGATGCCAATAAACTCATACTCACACCCATACTTGTAGTAATGGTTAAATTCTGATATCATAATTATTCTTGTGTCAATGTTTTTAACAATCTGATTAATTTTGAACCAGTAGGGCTAACTAGGTACTCATCTTGACTCTCTCAAAATCCAATAACAATTACTCAACCTTAAGAGTAAAATGTTGTTTTTGCGAAGTGCCTTAGGTGACTGTCAGAACTCACTGCATTTCCTTTAAACCCATTTCATTCTGGTGTTTCTCCTTCAGAAACGTCAACAATTCACACCACTCTCATTTTGAACATCAGAGCTTGAGATGTGAGAACCATAGTCATGCATAACAGTCAAGAAGGTAATTTTTAAGCAATCAGAGTGCAAGTATCTCATTGATAACCAAAGTTATTTAACTGAAATCTAATAAATTATGCTTAATAATTTCAATAAGTTTCAAGCATTCACCTAAATTATCCAGACTGTGAAAATCGATTGGCACTCCCTCATAATCGTATGTTTCAGGTTCCTCTCTTTCAGCTGGTATCACTATTTTAGGTACAATTTTTCTTGACTTGTTGGAACCAAGAGCACCTATCTTGAGACGAGCCACTTTCTCTTTATGAGCTTCAACACTCTAAATACAAAACAATCAATATTTAGCACTGCCACTTACTGATATCAAAAGTTGATTTTAACTTAACTCTTTGACTCTTGAGAGTGACAAGTGTCTAACTTCTCCATACAGTATCACCCCTGAACCACACATTAAGGTCACAAGAATAAAGGAAACGATCACCAACTAAAGAAGCTTTTGATTCTTATACAAATTCTCCTTGTCAGCACCTTAGAAAATGTTTAGAGAACAGCATGGAGAATGTGCATAGTTGATTGACTTTATTGATTGACTTTATTATTTTTTTTTTTAAATGAAAGAAATAAAGGCCTTTGTAGCCCGCAGTTAGCAAAGCTATTCTAGGCGGGCTACCTAAACAGACACTATATAGGCTCTTTCACATACACACACACACACATACACACACACACACATACACACACAACAATTAAATAAATAAATAAATGAGCAAATAAAAATAAATAATAAATAATAGTAGTGATAATCATGTTAAAAGTTTTAACTGAGCCAGTCACACAAGGGTGTTTTTCACAGGTCAAAGAGAAAGCTAATCAGTTGAAATACAAATATAAGCTAGAAAGGTCAAGGTAGCGCAAGTCAACATTCACCTTCTCAATTTCAAGAATTTTCAAAAGCAGGTGAGTTAGCTTACGTTTAAAGGGTGATACTGATGTTGGGGTTTATAGAGTTAATAAAAAATATTTTTATCTCTTAACCTTTCAGAGTGACCATTTATTTATTTCTCCGTACCATATCAATACACTGTAAGCAAAAAAGTGATAAGAACAGAGAAAAATATAAACGTTGAAAATAATGGTTGATTTGACTTTAAAATATAATGCAGAAGATTCTGGGAGATGAAATCTAAGAAATTTTTAAAATTCATGGTGAGGAGAATTGATATTAGATCTTGGAAATTAAAGGTTGATAAAGAGCCACCAAAGCGTGACAATGATACCAACCTTACAAAGAGTGAGACCGTGTCAATAAGTGGTTAAATGAGAAAATATAAACTGCTGTCAGCAATTTGAATAAATATTTTTTTTAAGGTCATACAACACGAATTACTATTGAAGGATGATTTATGTTTGCTTCAGAAAAAGGGTTGCGATTTCTCCTGATCGCAGCCAAATCACTTTTGTGCTCCTGAAAAGAATTGATTTTCGAAAAGTAGCGAACGCAGCCGGGCCCCGGAAATGGCTAATTATTTCTTCAAATACGACAACATAATAAGATTCGTAACCATTACATATCATTTGCACTTCATTCATCCCTCTTACGAAATAATCAACTGAAGGCATAGCTTTGAAAAACATCAGGAGGAACTTTAGTGCGCGTGCGACGAATTCTGAAAAATCACAAGAACACCAACCAACCTGTCCAAAGAGATGAACTGTGGCTTCTAGTGACTCTACCTTCAGAGCTTGATTATCCATCAAATTCAACATGCTGAGGGCTAAAGAGTTTATCTGATAAGCCACGCTTGCTAACGACTGTGTGGCGAACTTTTTTGTCTCTTCCAGAGCAGCCCTTGTTTCTTCGAAAGCCTTCGTTTTATCTGAGCCAGGCGAAGCGTGATGCTTGTTTGTGTCTCGATATTTCTGTTCGCAGTAAGCAGCGACTTTAGCCAGATTTTCGTGCCCATCTTTCAAAGCCTGTCGCCCATCAGGAATTTCTTTCTCCATAAGAGTCTGAATCAAGCTGTCTATCTCTTCCATCCTGGATTGCAGAAGATCACTTTCGTAGAATCTGCGTAAAATTACCGTTAATTTCCTCACAAAAATGGAATTTCCTCCTCCACCAGGAAAGAAGCGGGGGCTGTCTGTCTACGTCTGTTTCATTGTATGCCGCAGAAAAAATAAGGGTCTTTACACTGTGATACAATCCTACAAAGAAGGACAAGCGATTTGTTCTGGCCGATTTATAAAGTATAGTCAAAATTCTTTGATATCACAGAAGCGTCCACAGTGGAAGAGCTTTATAAATTAATGTATTCTGTAGGCCGCTTTAGCACCGTATCGATTACACTTGTGAGAAACCCGAGTTGCCATCACGAATGAAAATTAAACCCGCCAGATGACCTTCGACCTTCTCATGATGAAACTCGCCCGAATAAACCAAGCGGAAAACATAAATTCTACTACACATTTCTAAAAAGTGATGTTAAATTTTTATTTAAAAAAATACGACTGACAACGTTACAGTTTATCCAAGGTAACAATTCCCTTACATGATTTCCACATAGGCCAGAGAGGGTTTACGTAATTTACACCTAACTTCTTCTGTTGGAATTAAATTGCCAGAAATGATTTCAGATAGTTTTCCAGTTTTGAGTCTCTCAAGTACTCTGTATTTACCCTTCTGAAAATAAACACTTCACTATAAAACCAACCAATGGGAACCCTTCAGCCTGCGGTCAAATAAGAAATTTTGGTCTTGTAACCTAACACGTTCCCTCGCCCGCCCGCCCGGCCACGAGTATCGACGATATGGTCACCCTGACATTGCATGACAGTCATTACTGCAATTAGAGCAGAGGACGTCTATGGAAAAGAATCAATTTTGTCTTCATCCGGAGGTTATTTAATAGCTATCGCGAACTCAAAAAAGTCAGCAAACGTTTCCAACTCGTCAATGATTCTAATACAAAGGCACCAGTCAATAGTTTTCGCCTTGTGGGGAGGGAGGGGGGAGGCAGAGGGTTTTTTGGGGGGGAGGATCACATTATATTCTTGGGGAACAGAGGGGAGATAGGTCGTCGATAACAGAGTTCAAAAGGGGAACTAAAGAAAATTGACTGCCATAGATGGAGGATCATTAGGGACCGGTCATTTATTAGAGGGGGGAGGGGGGGGTGAGCTGATGCATTTTAATTTTCCTGTACATAATTTCCCGTGAGCCTGTTCTTGCCACTGCAGAACATAATGTGGCCCGCCCTCGAGTCTGTACATGAAGTAAGATGACCCGCGCTCATCCACAGGAACAGTTTTAATACAACTTAAATAAAACTCACCGAACTATGTGAAAGGACTGCTATACACCATGTTACAAACATGTTATGCCATTATTTTGATAGTAAATCATATTTGACTTGTTGTTGATTCCTTCAGTGTTGTTTCTTTTTTGTGGAACGGAAATTGGAATGTACAAATATACATGGCCCCTCAGAATTGGTTGCACAATTTTATGCAGCCCTCCATTTTCAGGTGCACAAAAAGGTTTGACACCCACCCCGTTTGCATCAGTCCACCCCCCCTCTAATAAATGACTGGCCCTTAGCATAATACAGATCAGGTTAATTTTATTGTGACGCAAACCCAGCTCTTCTCCCCACTCCAGCGCCTGGCGAGGAATAATGACCGTCCCCTAATGAGGCTTCACCGCTGTCAAAAATCAAAAGTCTGGAACGTCTAGTAATAAATTGCTAATGAACTGGAAAAAGAAATGACAAAATCTTGTAATCATAGCTAATATTACTGTGGAGAAGCATGTCAGCATTGTTTCAAACCGTTTCAGGTCGCTAAACCGCATTTCAGCGATGATATTGGCTTTTGTTTTCATTTATTTTACTCCTTCTGCAGCGAACCTTGAAGGATGTCATGCATGTGAATAGGAACGCTTAAACACGCCGAAACACACCGCTTTAAAAAAATTTCCCAGAAGCTTCTCTGATTAAAAACAAGTGCCTTGCCGGGAGGCTCAAGGCTCTGACATCCCAGTGCCTCTCTCTACCCAAAGGTGTTATGGGACACTCTTTATAGCGTAGTATTACTCTATTTTTCCTTTTTGCGTTTTTATGGACCTCGACTTCCTCTCTGTCCATAAAAACGCACATAAAGAACTCGGCCAATATCTCGCCATCTTGACCTCACGCTTGGTCAATAACGCATATGTTTTTAGGGCAGTATTTTATTGAATATGAAATGCCCGGGACTGTACAGGTTTTTCTTCGGGACTCTCTAAAATTAGACCAGAAAAAAATCTTTCTACCTCCCCAACCAATGAAATGCAAACGAGAAACCAATCACAACTGTGTTACAGGCGTTTTCTCGCGCCTCAGGCAGTGTTACTGTTGGTACAAATTAGCTCCAAATAATTTCCTTTGCTCCATTACTATGGTTTGGTTTCCCTCCAATATCTCCACGGCATTATATTCTTCCCATCCTCGTACACCTTTCTCTACACTTGGGTTTAGGTAAGGTAAAGGTAAACTTTATTTGATAAGTAGGTTGAGATTGTTTGGCAGCCGAAGGGCTGATGTGGATCTACTATACACAATCAAAATTTAACAAACACAAAAGATATTAACAAAAGAATAAAAGCTATGCACAGGGAGAAAACAATATATATACATGCAAAAAACTGAGATTTACAAGAGCCTAATTGAAATAATAATATAATACCAGAAAATAAAATGCTTAAAAGTATATAAAATCATCTTTTTTTTGCGGTGATCAACGTCGCTTCCTTGCTTAAAGAATACTCCGCAATGTCCCTGGTGTGTTTCTTTAATATCTGCTTATAGAAATTAAAATTTTCAGGCAATTTAAAAATTCCAGATTACAGGGCCTCTGTACTGTAAAGTGTTTCTTCCAGTATCAGATTTAAACCTTATGATATTAAATTGATCAGGAAAGCGAGTTGACCGAGTTGTCTTTTTAGAGAAAAGTTTTCGAACAGATTGACACTAAGTTTCAAAATACACTTTGTGCATTAACGTAAGAACGGACTTTTTGTAAAAGTAAAAGAAGGGTAGCCAATTTGATTTACTGAGACATATATCATCAGCCAACGACGTTTGAAGGTTGTTTTTAATGCGGGAAGCTCTTGCGTGGATATAGTTCAGAGAATTCATTGCAGAGGGTGAGCAATTTCCCCATACTGAAATACTATGTTACGCTGGGAATCATTGATTTGAAATAAATTTCCTCAAGTGACTGTTTAGGAAAAATTTTCATTCTCTTTAGTGCTTCAACTTTTTGTGCCATTGCCTTTTTGAAGGTGGAGTTCCACGTAAACTGTGCCTGAAACTAAAAGAAGTCTACGATTGATCCTAACTTATTTTTCAAATCGGTGTAGTTGCACACGCGAGGAATGGAACGTGGGAGGAACCGTCGACTCGTCTCCAGCTCCTCCCTGAGGCGTGCTTAACTGATAGTCGCTCCTTACACATGAGCTTCAGGTTATTCAAATTTTTATTTCTTTTTTTTTAAATCTACCCAAAGCATGTACAAGACTAAGTATATTGTTTATGGGTTAGTAAATTTACATGGGTCAAGCAATCGGCGATTAGTAATAGTAATTCGAGTAACACATCAATGAAACAGTAACTAATCATCACAGCGGATCAAAACGGTGTCGCGTCACCATCTACGTAACAAGTTGTTGACAAGCGCTGCATAACAAAAGCAAGAACGTAACAAGAAAAATACTTTTCTTCCTCCGCCAGTACATCAGTTAACCCTTCAGACCCTAACACCAGTATTCATATTCTCCAAACTCTTCTCAGCATATTTTCCTTTAGTTCTAAAAAGAGAATTTGTATTAATAATCAATCAAAGCTTCCCAGGTTTGCAATCACTTCCTCGATTCTCGTGTTCTTTAACAACGATTTTGCTGTATTACTGTTTGGAGAAATCTGATGCTGGTCATCCTTAGAGCTTAAAGAATTAACTGAACTAACAACTATCATTAGTCAAAAGATATATAGCGGAAAAAACCAACCACTAAACTGCCCTGTGCTATCAAAGTATTACATTACAAATTATACCCTAAATATGCTACTTATGTCAACCTAGTAAACTATATACAAATTGAATTTAATCAATTTTCTGTTAGATTATGAGGACAATGTATGGAGTTTCGGCTGATCAAACCGAACTACCCCTGACATAATTTTCTCTACTTGTATATACTTAAAGGAGGTAGAGCACTATTCTTTTCAAGAGATTGGACACCCCTTAAGAATACCCCTACCCTTTTTGTTCGAAAAAAAAAAAAAATTATGAATTGAGGTAAGGAACTCCTTTTCTTAAATATTCTGTTGCAAATCAAGGTCCAAATTGGATCACCAGGTTTGCAAGATGACACTTTTGTAAGAGTCTTTCTGACTGAGTCTTTCTGACTGAGTCTTTCTGACTGAGTCTTTCTGACTGAGTCTTTCTGACTGACTCTTGTTGTCTTCGTAAAAAACCCACAGAAGTGGATGCTGCCAGTGTATTGGGCAAGACAAAGGTGCTCTAAGGGGAAGGTTTTCTTCCTCCCTAGCACATCTTGAGATACTTGTGGTCATCATCTGAGATACTGTAGGCCATCCCTGTCATGAAGATGACTAGAGTTGACTTATGCTGTGATTTGCTCATAAAGTGAGCAATCTTCTAGCATTCCTGACTACAAGTATTACTTCTTACTCCTGATGGGATGCTAGTCTATCACAAGTTATCTTTATCATGGACATCTGTTCCAAGGTTGATGTCTTCAAAAATTACACGGAAATGCTTCAGATCTGTGTTCCAACCAAAAATTTGTCTTTGCTTTAAAACCTCATCATTTAAAGTTAACCAAGATATGTAAGCCATGATTAGTTAGAATGAGTTTGTCGTCTTTGCAGAGACATGACAAACACATTGACAATTGAGAAATTGCTTTTTTAGAAATTTTACTACTTGAAGGGATGCATGAAATAAAACCCCAATGCACCATCAAATTCTCCTTTTGATTCAAAAGGAAATATAAGACAGTTAAGAAAGAGAATTTAGCAGTATCCAAAGTGTCAGGGCTTTTCCCAGGCACACCTTCAATTATTGCTTTGTTCTTTAGGAGTTAAGCAAGCACAAAAGTACTTCCAAACAAAATTGATAGTTATAATCTACTTATATGCCTACACTAAAAAAAAATTCAACTAAATCAACTACACTACTCAAGAAAGAAATTCAACTAAATCAAGTTACTTCCTGTGAGCTACCTTTAACAAAAGCCCAACTTTTAACTCACTCACTTAAAATAAAGAAACTTGAACTTGTTTCTGAAGTATTCTCCACAGCACAGAAGCAAGGAGTGGAAAGGTACCTAAGTGAGGTTTTTTTTTTTTTGCTCTTTAGTAATTTTGTGCCAAATCCCATGATGGATTCAAAGGAATTTCTCACAAAGGCTGTTCTTAAAGAAAGTTCCAAGTTGTGGTCATTATAGTATAAACCATTGTTTACATCATTTGCAGCTTTTGTGACACATTAAAGTAATAACTCTTAAAGAACACACAGAATACATAACCAACATAGGGGAGCTTAAACACAGACATTTTTTAGAGGTCAATGACAACTAAAAGTTAAGGGTTCTTTACCCTCACACAAGCTGTAGGTTGTTTATTCATTTATTCTTGGTAGGGCAGTGTTCAAACTGCTAAGACAGGGCCTTTCCAACTTATTCATTGATTAAAAAAGCAAACTAGGAGAAGTTTGCATTCTCCCTTCATGTATTATTCACATTGCAAAAATATCTGTGATTAAGTTCCCTACAATCAACACTCAAGTTTATGTGTCTGAGATAAAACAGTAAGGGTTCCATTAAAATTATGAACTCAATGCTATTGATATTATTGAAATTAAAAAGTGATATCTCAGTGATTCAAGTGTATTATAAGTCAGCTCACTCATGACTACAATGGACAAGTCCACTTTTTACTGAATGTCTATGCAATACTTAGAAATCAATAGGCAAGGTAAAACTTTTAAATGAAAGCACCTTGAAGTTTGTTGTGTGAGTTGACTAGCTACTGTATAGTTTCTCAGTAGATTTACTTTAGAACACTGTTTGAATATACATACTGATGTTTCCTCTCTGATTGGTAGTGATAACAAGTCTATAATTAGTTCATACACCTTTTAAAATACTTGATTCATGTCAATTTAATGTATTAATTAGTTTCAATGACATAACCACTGAAGAGTGAAAGAACTAAAAATAAAAGACATTTACAAGGTACTTCCTTTTTAATTAATTTCCAAATACTGTCAAGCCTATATAAGTCAATCATAAATTTAGAGGAAAATACATTTTTTTTTTTGCAACTGAATGGTAAAAGCTGTATCATTACAAAGTACACTTTCCTGTTCCTGGTCAATCTTCTCCTTTGTGGACATCTGGCCAAATCATCATTAAACTTTTTGTCTCCCTTTGGCCATCACAGTTGTTTTATACAACACTGAGGTTATTGCAAGGTGCTGTGGCATCAACATATTCAGATCTGATTTTCCATGATTGACAAGTTCATTGCAGTGAAGAAATTTGTGATTTGTAGCATGTGCTCAATCAGGAATACGACAGCCATCGCTTACTACCATCAAATTATGAAAAAAGCAGAAAAGCAGCTAGGCCTTACTTGCAATTAACAACTCGTAACCATTTGTAGTGCAATCCTCAGAATTCAAATTAATCGCACAGTTTTCCATCTTAATAGTACCCTGTTTTACCCCCTCTCTACCCCCCCCCCCCAAAAAAACCTAACCAATTTCTGAATGCAATTGTTGAGTTGAGCATTATGTAATCATGTTTACATTACTAGCTTTAAGCTACTGATTATCATCATTTTAAATATGAATTACCAGTTAAATGTAACTGAAAATATCCTAAAAAAACTCAATCATTGAAATGGCCATTAACATGCTCATCTCTGTCAACACTTGGAGGCAAAAGAGCCTTACAAACCGGACATTGCGGCACTTCCGATTCCAAAACAGCAGGTGCAGAGACTGCAGTCAAGGCGGGGGCACTTGGAGGAGGGGAAGTAGGAAGTGGGGGCTCTGATGTAGAAATGGGCATCTGAGTAGGGTACTGAGTAGGGTACTGATTAGGGTACTGGGGAGGGACCTGAGGAGGGACGTGAGGAAACACCTGTGGAGGGACGTGAGGAAACACCTGTGGAGGAACCACAACTGGAGAGCTTTGCGGCCTTGGTTCTGGTTGGTGTTGGACAAAAACCCATGGCTGAGGATTGTCTGGAACTGACAGAGGAGGAGCAGGACGACCAAAGATTCCCAGCAAGGGTCCGCGCTTTGGAAAGATGGTGGGAACTGTGGAAGATAACATAATATAGAAAGGTCTTTGTACAAACATTATTACCAGCAAAAGAAGTAATGCTGGAACAAACCTGTGTTAGGATGGCCAGGGGTGACCCTGCACTGAAAAGTTATGCAGGTTCTTAATCTGTGATTTCTTTGTTATTTTTGCGAATTATAATTAATTGTGTTATAAAATGATTGTGCGTGGAAAGGCGACAAAAGATTTTGTTGATTAATCAGGCAAATAAATGTTATTGTCTTGGGTACCTTAAAGGTGTGTTAGCTCAAAAAAAAAGAAAAATAAAATTACAGATGCGACATTATTGAAGAAACATACCCTAACATCAGTACACACATTCTCTATACTGTTCTTTATATGTTTTCTAGGTGCAAACTTGAGAATGTGCTTAACAATGAAGAGCTTCTTTAGAGTGTGATCATTTTCTTTCAATTCTCATGGCCTTAATGTTTGATTGAGGGGTGATATTAAATACTAGTCACTCTCAGAGTTGAATTGCAATAATACCTGATGTGGGAGGTTGTTCTCCTGCAGCTTGAGGTTTTGGTTGTTCAGTGGTTACTTCAGTATTTTCAGATCTATTTTCCATCAGTCTGGACTGCGCTTCTACATGGAGGTCAACTTCTTTTTTCCATCTTTCCACTTCTCTTGTTAGCTCTTTATTCTTTAGAACAACCTTTTTCTCACTGGCTTCGAGTTCCTGGATCTTTGTTCTGGCCTGCTCACCAAGTCTCTCTCTCTCTTCTTGCTCTTTGGAGAGTGCCTCTTGGGTGCTCTGAAGATTCTCCTCAGCATTTTTTATCTCTCCGTCTTTCTTTTTCAACTGCTCTTGTAGGTTAAGTATCTCCTGGATGACATTCTCTTTTTCCACTTTTTCAATATCCAAGATTATCTCCAGCTCAGCCACTTTTGCAAGCAGTTCTTGTACAACTGGGATTTGCTCCACTTGGTCAGTCTTCTGTAGCTCCAAGCGTTCACTGCCTGGAACTTTTACTCTCAACTCAGAAATCTCCAACATCAACTGGATGAAACAAAATTACATTTGATAAAATTGACACTACTAATAACTCAGGACTTAAGGAAGATCTTTCCCGGCATTATTCTTTAAACGAAGAACACCTAAGAATTTAATTCAGTGTTCTCCCTTTTCATCCTAATATCAGAATTTATTACACGACTCGGGCAGTCAGTGGGCCAATAACTAAAATCAACCAATCAAAATGCTCTATTGCCAGTCCAATATTCTCTAAGTATTGGACCAGGCACTGTCCCAAATGGTCCCGAATGATACCACACTTGTGTCCCTTTGAACTTCAGTCGTATAATAAATCTCTTATTAACCAAGCTTGCTCGGAACCGTACTGGAAGAATATCCACCCTTGGTCTTTTTTGTATGGGACCTCGCTGCGCTTGGTCCATACTGTCAAGACCTCGGGCCGATATTCTCCCAGTACGGCCCTCGCGCTTGGTTAATAAGATATATGTATACTCTCCCTTCTGTTCTCCATGCAATCCCCCACAGTCCTGATAAGGAAAACTGTTCATCAATATAGAGCTTCTTTAACTAGAAAGTGTTTCCTTCATTCCTGGAAAGCTCGTTGATACTGTATGGGGGAATTAGAAGCTAAACACCCTTGAGAGTTTTAGGGTTGACTCAAATAGCAATAAGATAAATTTACAAAGTGATACACTATGCTTTTGAAAAGGAAGTTGTAGGAACATTGCATTTTGCTCAAACAATACATGTATATTTATCCACATGTGATATATTAAATGAGGGAATGAAACACAGCCTTAAAAGGTTACTTATTAAAAGGATGTTAATGAGGTAATCTGAAAGGACATCCATCTATCTCAACAAAAACTGACCAAAGGTCAGGGTGAGTAAATAATATCACATGATTTCAGCCTCTTAAGTAGTATGAGATCATCAAAAAAAAAAGGAACCATCCTCTTACAAACAACAATTATGATAATCACTGGCCTTTCTGTTCTATTTAAAAATCAGTTTAAAGCAAATAGGAGGAAAAAAATGGTTTATTAACATTTTTGAGACTCTGGCTTAGAAATCTGTCAAAGCAAATGCAATGCGAGGATTTCTGATTTCTTAGAAATACAGATAGATTTTTTTATTGTGGTGAGATAAGAAATCAAGAAAATTATAGTTTCCTTCCCCTAAGGGATTTAACCTAAATATGAGTGTGGTGATAAAAGCTTACTTGACAAAAAATTTTGTGAAGTCGACAATAAGTCAAATTTTCTTACATCACTCACTACCAATAAGAGAACAGAACAACACTAATATTTACACAACTACTCAATTTCTAAACATGCATTCATATCTAATCTTCACTTTTAAAATTTTTAAAATTTTGTTCCTTTAAGATCATTTCTTCTCAAAATCAAATACCTTCACAGTTTTCTTATGTGATATTTTTTCAAAATTCTTCAAAATCCGTTTCCAACAGTTTCTAAAAAATACTTGGGTTGTATTTAAGTTGTCTAGTAATTTATTTTTCAGAACTATCAGTTCAATCAGGGCAACATTAGAGTAAATAAACTTCTTATCATTCTCAGTGTAAAAAGTGAAGCTGGTGGTCTTACATATAAACAAATTCAGCTCCTTTACACTCACTCAGGAAAACCTTGTCTTCAATAAAATATTGGTGAGAACAACAACAACATACCTGGTGTATTTGGTTATTCTTCTGTAACATTGCATTCTTCTCTTTCTCTAATGCTTTTCTTGCCTCATCCAAATCCTTCTGCAGCTTGGCAAGCTGAGTCTGTATCTCTGGTATTGAGTTTTCTTCTGATAACTGTACTGTTGAGCCCTTCATCCATTTGTTCAACTGTGCCTGCAATCTGTGGCACTCCACAAATTTTCCCTTGAATGCTTCTTCTCCCATCTTAAGTCTCATACGTAGATCTTCATTGTTTGCCCTCATTTCTTCCAGTTGAATGCGCAAGTCATCTGACGAGACACTTCCTTGGAAACTTGCAATGGTTCTCTTAAGCTCATTTCTTTCCCTCCACATTTCATCCATCTCCTGTTTGACTTTCAAGTACTTCTTTTCCAGATGAGAGTGGGCAGTCTTGAATGCATGCATGGAAGCAGCTGAATTTCTGGTCAGTTGCGCACTTTCCCCTTGGGTATCTGATAAAGTTGTCTGGAGAGTCTCCTTGTCTACCCTCAGTGCACTGACTTCAGCACTTACAGAACTTAGCTTGACTGAAGCTATTTGGGCTTTCTCCTCTGCAGATTGCAATTGCTTCTTGCAGTTATCCAGCTCTCCACACAGCCCCCTTATTTCAGCATTTTTTCCCTCGAGCTGCTGACTCAGTTCCATGTTAGCCTCCAGCTGCTTTTGCACTTGAGCTTGGAGACTGGCTAAGTTGCGATCAGACTGAGAACACAGGGATTGATTTAAGGCCTTCTCTCCTTCAAGTTGGTCATGCAGTGCCCTGATTACGGACTCATAATCTTCTTCCAATGCAGTAGTCTTTCCTTTCTCCTGAGCTAGCTGAGAGTTAGCATCTTCCAGTTCACACTCAAGTTGGTGGACAAGCTCTTGCTTTTCTTTCACATCTCCTTGCAGCCTTTCCATTGTGTTGCCTAGCAACTCTGCTTCATGTGTTGCATCCCTTAATATTTCTGCTTTGGCTCTTTCTACTTCCTCAATTGTTTGCTTGCAGTTTCCAACTTCCTCCATTGCTTTTTCCAGTTCAGTTTGCTTACTCTTCAACTCAACATTCAATTCTCGCACTTTTTTGGTCAAACGCTCGGATTCCTCCTCAATTTTTCTTTTAAGACCACCGTTCTCCTCTGTCATCTGTGACAGTTTCTCATGCAGTCTTCCATTTGCGTTGTTTGCTTTCTCCAATTTCTCCTTTAATTCTGTACATTCAGCCTTTGCTTTTGTTTTAAACTCTGTCAAACGAGCCTTCACTGCATTGATTTCATCATCTTTGTGTTTCAAGTCATTCTGCAGCTTTTCAATCATTTGGCGATCGGCGGTCATACTCTCTAGATATTGTTTCCTCTCCACCTCTAATTTTTCCGTGTCTTTCTCCACTTGAGAGCTCTGCGCACGTTCTTCCTCAACAAGCTTCGTCAATTCCACAATCTTCCTGTTGGAATTTTCCTCTATCGTCTTCAGATCGTCGATTTTCCTTTCAAGCGCTCTGTTCCTTTCTTGCGCTTCTTCCAAAGCGATATTCGTCTGGGCAGAAGTTTGCTCCAAGCTTGAGACTTTTTCCTCTAAGTCTTTCAAATCGGATGTCAAATCTACTTTTTGCAACTCTAACTCCATCACTTTCTCATTCGCCAAATTCAAATCTGCCAGCGTTGCTTCTTTAGTTGCTTTCAAAGCAGAATTCTCTTCCAAAGTGCGGGCTAGCGATTCTTCCATAATAGCCGTTTTGTTCTTGACAACCATAATTGATGAACCCTCGTCATCTTCCATTTCGCAACACTCAAGCTCTTCTTGATCCATCGCGGGCTTGGTTTTAATCTGAAAGGGAACGCTTGCCCCTCTCACGTCCCCAGCATAGGTGACATAACAAAACTGATAAAACTCGTCGTCAGCTTTCGGCAAATACCTATGACGAAAAACAACCTTGTTTGCCACTGGTTTTCCTTGTTCGCCATTTTGAATATTTGGCATTGGCGACCATTCGTAAGTGTAATGTTCTCGCGAAGATTGCCATCCAACTTTGAAAAACCCAATCCAGTCCCTGGAACGTGGTTTAACTGAACGCTTTATCGTATATCGACATTCTATATCTCTGTCGGGTGGATAGCATTCGGAGACGTTGTTAAAAATAACGGCGGAAAATTCAGACTCCGAAGGTAACGAAATAACTTCGCATGTGTTGTCGCAGTCATTTGTAGAATCATCGTGACCTGTTTCGCTTTCGTGCGAACTGTCTGCCATATTTCTTTACTTCTGAAGTTACCCTATCGTTCAGGATTTATTTGAATCACCCGGAAGAGGCAATAATGAAAGTCCCGTGTGGATTTTCACGTTTTCGACGCGATAAAATTGCAAGGGAAGCAAAAGTTATTGTTTGCGATGACGCACCTTATTCGTAAATAATAGCCGAGCAGGCGAGTATGACGCGAATATTCCCGAACACTTGATACCCGCATGATTCGGCTCTTCAACTTTTGTATCCAAAGGTCGGGATTTTTCCAGTCAAGGATGTAGGAATATTGAGATATCCTGCAAATATGAAACGCAGATACTGATATTTCATAAATTTTTTTCGTGCTTTTCTCTTTTTTTTTTTTTTTGTGGTTAACAGAGGAGAAGTATAGGGTTAAAGCTGTTTAAATCCTTCGCATTAAATTGCGTGGGTAGCGAATGACAACTGCACCGCAACTCATTCTAGAAACGGCTTGCCAGCCACGCCGTGACGTTGCGACAAAAATATATCTGAAACTTCTTCCCTTAAAGAATATTTCTTTGTCTTGGGAGTGTTTAAGCTGTTATTCTCCTCCCATTCCCGTGGGGACAAGAAAAATTCCGGCTTTTTAAAAATACTCCGTCATCATTAGTGTGACAATTTAATCGGAGGTCAGGTTAAAAAAAGGAAATTCCACTTAAAAAAAAGATCTTCACTACATTTTTATAACCATTATTACTACTCCTATCATCTCATTATTATCATGATTAGTATATGAAATCATAATTAAATGTATAACGTAAAACTGTAAAGAAAAAATGTTTTACTTTGTTTATTTAAAGTTCTCTTTTTATAAATTTAATTTAATTGTTTTTTATTAATTTTCAATTGATGTTGTACTTTGAAATTGTTATCCTGACTGTTAGTCCAAAATTATCTTATTTTCCATCAAGTCAAACTGAGAGGTTATCATTTTTCATGCTATCGACCCAATGGATAAAAGGGAAAAAAGAAAAAAAGGAAAAAATGAATACTGAGTCACTGTCATGGATAACAACAGTTTAATGTAATAGTCTTTAGCATTCGAGAACTGATGTTTGAGGAAAATATTGGATGGAACTAACAACCTTATGGCAACTCTTTAACGCCGACAATTCCCGCATCCTTTAGGACGTGTTTCTAAGCGGCCCAGCTTGTTTTACAGTAAAGTTTCGTTCGGGAAAGGTTCCCGCTGATTCCGGCGAATTCAAAGTAACCCTCCTAGAATATAATAAATCGATCATTTACTATTGTCATCTCCAAATTTTCGGTATCTTTGAGACATTTTTTTTTTCCTTTCATATTTCGTATTTCGGGGGAGATCATTTTCACCATGTCTTTTATAGTTATTCAAACGATTTCTTCGAAAACGCAACTGGCTTTCTGTCCCCATCTTCAGGAACTTTTAGCTTTTCTCTGATTCGAATTGAGATTTGGAGGATTATCTGGAAAGAAGTTTCTATTTTGGGATTGTTAGAATACAAAAAGAAGATAAATTACGTCAGTTAGTTCCTGAAGGGCACCGTATGCCGGATGAATGGGGGTGGGGTGGTGCTTGCCCTACCCTAAAATGACTTGTGCCAAACTGCCCTACCCCATGCGGAGAAGGGGAAATCCCATGATCATGTCATACAAATTAAGAAACATGGCCTGCCCAACAATCCACCCCTACTAACGTCTGCGAAGGAGGCTATCTTTGAAGGGGAAAGCACCATCAGATATGCAGATATCTTTTGGTAACGCGCGAGAAATTGGGAGCTAATCTATTCTTCGCTTTGTCCTAGGTCTCCTACGTCTGAATTCGGGAATAATCAAGATGGCGGGAAAAGCTGTGAAAGACCTTTCTGATGTGGAGTTGATGAATGAATTAAAGTCCTTAGGTCTAAAATCTGGACCTATTACTCCGAACACAAGGCGGCTATTTGAAAAAAGGCTCTCCAAAGCTCTGGGTTGTGATGTCATCGACAGCAGTCTTGAAAACAGGGATGTCGTGTCGAACGTTGATGTCAGAGAGACTCCAATTGCAACAAGTGATGCTCGGACGCTCAGTGCTTCTAGTCCATCGGATAGTCCAGTGATCTTTTACGGAGTTTGCTTCGATATAGATTGTTCTTTATCTGAAACTGCATCACCAGCTATTCCAGCTGTTTTTACAAGTAAAGACGAGGCACTGAAAGTGGCTAAGAAAGTTAAAGGTTCTCGATTTAAAGGCTTCAAAAGTAAACTGGAGGCCGAATTGTTTTCTCGATCGCACCTTAAAGATCAAGACATATCTTCAGGTGCTCTGGATACTTCACCTATTCCTAGAGATCCCGTGAGCAATTTCAAAACTCCAACACCGCAACAAATAGTCAAATTTCGTGCCGTCATCGAACAAGGCTCGAGTGAAGAATTTCAAGAAATTGTAAAGACAAATCCTAGATACCTGATTGGACCAGGTGATACTCCAGTTATTTTACAAGAAGGATTTCGTTATAATGCACTTCATGTAGCAGTGAAAAATAACAGAAAAGAGATGTGTCAATCTATTGTTGAAACTTTGGAGAGTCAATCGTTTTGGGATGTGCTACTGAACCATGAAATTAAGACAGCCGAGAACAGCAAAAGGAGAGAATTTTTGATTGACATGTACCTAAACACACCAGACAAAGGGGTACGTAGGTGGAACACTTTCCTGGTAATTCCAAGGGATTTGGTAATTACAGGGAGGTTATCAGGAATTCCCAGGGGCTTTGGTGGTAATTACACAGAGGCTGTTGGTGGGTTAGGAGGAATGAAAATAATGTTACCATTTTGGCTTAAGGGATACAAATTATTTTTCCCTTCGGGGAGGCTGTTGGTAGGAATCCTAGGGATTTGGTGGTAATTACAGGGAGGCTGTCAGGGGAGGGGAGAAGGGGAGATGAGATGTTACTCTTTAATCAGCTAATGGAGATGTAATTCCATGGCATTTTTCTTCACCACAGGGTAGCCCTCAGGATTTTGTCCCCTTTCCCCAACAGGTTTTTGATACTTTAGTAATCCTGGGTGGAGAGTAGGTGTGTAAAAGAGAAATATCTCATAAAAGAGCCTCAAGGGATGAGGGGGCTATTTATCAAATATCGTCTAAGGGGTGAGTCAATCTTCTCCCCAGATCCTGGTCCAGTATAAGTCCAAGAAACATTATAACATAACCAAAGTAAAGCATGCGTTCTGATTGGTCAATTTAGCGTCCCCCATTTGCCCATGGGTGTACGCTGCTGAAGTGAGCAAATGCAAAGACTATTTTTCTGCACGCGCTTGTTTTTTCTGGTCACGTAAGATTTGTTAAATAAAAGGGAACTCTTTAGCTACAATGTATCAATGTTATATTATAAAACAAATGGTAAACACCACACAGCGTACACTATTGAGTTATGGATGCACTTGGGAGGTTTGTTAAGCACTCAAGAAGCTAGAGTCGCTCTCGCCTATTGCCTCGAGCGACTCTTACTCTTCTTTTGTGCTTAGTAACCTCCTACGTGCATCCATAACTCAATAGTGTACGCTGTGGTGTTTACCATTTGTTAACTATTTTCCACCCTTGTTTTCATTCCTGGCTTGTGAAAGCTATGACCATTTTCAGACCTACCATTAGTTCTGAAAGATGTTTTGGTATTGAAATCCATCGTGCTTTTATTTTACTGCTACTAATCATTGATTATAATTTTAGTTCTGAGAATTTAGCATTTGATCAAATGATAATCCCCTCAGTGATTTTTTTTCTATATTCTCATCAGTTTTCTGCTTGATATTGTATTGATATTGTAAGGAGAAATTATGTCTTGAGCTGAGAGTGAAAATGTTAACCAATTAGGCCAAGGTTTCTCTTGTACAATCTGTACCAAACAGCCACTGAAATGTTTCTTTACCATTCAGTTAATTTTGTTTCACAGAACTTGGAAACACCATTACATTTTGCCTGCAAGTTTGGTTTTGCTGACATCGTGGAATACCTTGTCTCTTATCCTCTAACAAAGAACCAACAACAGAACAAATATGGTGAAACTCCAGCTGAGGTAAGATAGGATGAAACTGAATCAGATACAATTAATTTTTCAGTGAGAATGACTTTGCAAATAGGACTTTCTAAATAATGCAGATTGTGTCTATTCTAAAGTTCTTCTTACCTGATAAGTGGTCTGGCTGAGATGAATCACCTCTTAATGCCTGTGAGGAACTATCTTTTGACAAGTATTTAATAATTCTTTCTTCCAAAAATATATCTGTTAACCCTCTCACCGTTAAGATCTCATTAGTGATCCCTTTTATGTATGTCATACAATTCTTATGATGTTAGTTTGGAGAATTTACAGGGCTCGACACTAACAGTAGCCAACTAGCCACAGACTAGTAGAAATTCAGTTTTGGTTAGTGGTTTTTGATTTCCACCAGCCAGTTTGGCTAGTAAAACAAACTGAAATTGTCGTAACATCTAAGATGTCACTAGCCACTGGGCTAGTAAGTTGAAAAGTTAGTGTCGAGCCCTGATTTAGTATTGGATCAACAAATAATCTGACCATATACTAATATTTTTTCTTTATTCTCATCACTTTTTTGCTTAATATTGTATTGATACTGTAAGGAGAAATTCTCTCTTGGTCAGTTATGAGAGTTGAAGGATTTATAGAAAATGAATCGACTAGCTAGTGGTGAATGTGGCTAGCAAACATCAAGCCTCCATAATTCGTTGACCTGAATAACATTTTGCACTAATCTTTGCTTACTTACTTCCTCTCCACCCATTATTTGTCTTCATTGAAACTTTTATTATTATAGTTCAGGATGTAATTATTTTTCCATCATTTGTAGATACTAACATATTTATCAAATACTTCTAGGTTATTTGCTCAAGGTGTTCAAATGCAAGCTCTGATTTGAAAAATCAGATAAAAAGCTTCCTTGAAGGTATTAAAATCAAAATTGTGCATAGTTATTCATTTTATATTATGTACTTATTGACTGAGGGGTAGAGCCGCATGGGAAAATATTTGGTTCAAGGTCAAGATGTATTGATTGAGTGCAGCAAGGTCTGTGCCTCATGACTGAGAGTCAAATCTTTTCCTGTTCAGCCCGACCAAACTCAGTTAATTAATAAGCATTCTATCTTATGACCACTAAATGTTTAAAATATCAACCTAAATAGGATGCGATAGAAGGGCCCACGCAGCCACACAAGCACAAAAAAAAAATTCTGCAATTAAAACTTTTCCTTTTGTTTTTTTCAAGTCAGAAAAAGAAACTCCTAATTCCTCGAAAAATGTGACTTTTTTCTCATTTCTGTTTTCCTTAAGTTTTTGCAACAAAGAAACACAAGGGCTGCAAGGCCAGACAGCTTTTTTGGGACCAGCTCACATCAGCCCTTCTGGCCCCACATGTCAGCTTTAACTGTGCTTTTCTATCAGAATGAGCGAGCAGGGCTGGACAGATCCTATGATGATTTAAGTTATTTTTGTTAGCCTTACCTGTTGTGATATGTTTCTTGTAAAAACTGCTTGCCATCTCATGGGCCAACACAATTGTGACACCACTTGAAAAATACTTGAGAGATGCATGTCACATTGATAAGAGAATCTTACTCTGACAAAGTAGCTATATACTGTTCTCTGGGTGTTGGACAGGGAATAACAGGGAAAAACAGGATATACCGAGTGTAAAGGTGATAAATACCCCAAGGATTTAGTGTGAGGAAAAATTGGGGGAAGATGTCTAAGAAGATGGATGTAGAGGAGAAATGATACAAGGTATATTTTTTATCCTTGGGTTAACTTCTTCCTTTGGCAAGGGTATTTTTCTATTTACTCTAAGCTGCAGGTTTCTTTGTGAAGATTCTGTTTTTTTTTTTAAACAGTTGCATGTCTCCTTTTTGCAGACAGTTTCTATGTGCCACTGTTGGGCTCAACAGATAATTCAACTCTTCCCTGGATTGAGGGGCCTTGGTCACCAGAGATCACAGATGATCGAGTGAATAGGGAAGGTGGACAGCCAGGAAGCCCCCTCAATAACTGGAAACACAGGAACAGCCCTGGAGACTTACCAGTTACTGTGAGGGCATATGCTGGACCGATGTCCCCATCAAAGGTAGTTGTTGGGACCTACAGCACTTCAAGGGTTGTGTATATTAAGTACAATGCAGAGTGCAGGTAGCATGTCACTTAATAAACCTGAGTATCACTCAGTTTGCCACCGAGTTCTTGGTATTTGATTTGGTGAAGAAGCTGACCACAAAATGGCACTGCTTTGGTTTTGATTGGGGAGGGGTTCCACAGCTCCCTCATCTGGTGTGATTTTTTTTTGTCTGGTTTGGTGTGAAATGGGTCTAGATGTTGACTTAGTCTGGTCCTAAACTTGGTATGGCTTTCAAGGCAACTACAGAGCCTATGAAATTCTGTGCCTTTCTAGCTCAAAATGATTAGAATAGAAGTGGAAAATGTCATAGATTATGGAGTAAATCGTACCAATTTTTTTACCTTTGACTTCAGATGCCAATTCTCAAAACAGGTGTGGATTTTAGAAGTGAATTTTGAGAATGAGTGAGGAAAATGACATGGTTTGTCAAAAACAGGGTCACGATCTGGAGAACCAGGGTACACACCCTCTGCCAAAAATGTACCCCTTGTGATTGATTGTCTTCATGTGGCGTGTTTGCCCCATGCTTGTGACAAATGTTAATCACTCTCCTGTACAATTTTTGCTAAAGCAATTACAGTTGTTTCTTAATGATCAGGATTGACTTAGTCAATCAGTTGTGTCTTAATGATCAGGATTACAGTTGTGATCTTAATGATCAGGATTGTGTCTTAATGATCAGGATTACAGTTGTGTCTTAATGATCAGGATAGTGTCTTTGAAATTTTCACTTTAGGCAGCAGAGTTCTACCATACTTGGAAAACTCCACCAAAAAAGGAATGTCGGAAAAAGTACATGCAGATAAAGAGAAAAGATGACAGTCGTGGTGTGGAAAGAATTGGAAGGTAAACCGTTGGGTTTTTATTTTTTTTTTTGCTGTTAAAATAAACTATTATAACATAACTAAAGCAAAGTGCGTGCTCTGATTGGTTAATTCAGCATCTACTATTTGCTTATGGGTGTATGCTGCTGATGTGAGCAAATGCTAAGACTATTTTTTGGCGTGTGCTTGTTTTTTTCTGATCATGTAAGATTTGTTAAACAAAAGGGAACTCTTGTTACAATGTTTCAATGTTATGTTAATAAAACAAATGGTAAACACCACAGCTTGTTCATAGTTCTGCTGAACTCTTTCACTGGTTGTTGGATACAGAGCTTATAAATTAAAGAGGATTTTGGTCGGTATTTCAGGAAGCGTGATTAAACTTTATCGAGTTGCTGGTGTTCAGTCGGTTGTCATGAATGAATTTTTGCGCGCTTGTTTCGTCTTGTCATGTAGGACCACACAAACATTTTTTTGCGATGTAGCTCAATAAAAGGACTTCGGTTCTTCAAATGTCTCAATGTTATGCGACTCTTACGCTTCTTTCGTGCTTCGCAACCTCCCATGTGCATCCATAACTCAAAAGTACACGCTATGCCGTTCACCATTTGTTAAGTGAGCCTGTGCAAACTCTGAGAGTTTGACCTATTACTGCAATTTCAATCACATTTTATAAAATCCAAACCAAGGCAGTTACAATAGCCATAGTCAAGAAATTTTCAATTGTTTGAAAAAAAAAAAAAAAAAAACAGAGATTACATCAGTTCTGCTTTGCTATATATATTTTGATTGGTTCAGAAGATTTGCACCTCACTCTTAACTTATCAGATTCTAAACTGAATTTAATCACAACATACCGGTTGTCAGATGCATTTCCTGCAGTTTAAACCATTTCCTCTAGTTTTAACTTTGAGTTCTTGTTGGTTCCATTTGCTGTCTTCTTTACTTTGAGTGGTGGTTGTCATGGGTGGTTTTGGTTTTACATTTCATTCAGAAAGTGATTAAATGACTATAGTGAATATTGCAGGGATAACAGTTTAGTTTTATTAATCTTTCCACTCCTAAGAGTCACCAGCATCCAATTTCTCCTTGCATTATCACCCCTGAATCAAACATTAAGGTAGAGAGAATAAAAGAAATGATCACCAGCTAAAGAAGCTCTTGATTGTGAAACAAATTCTCCTTGTCAACACCTTAGGAAATGTATAGAGAACAGTATGGAGAATATGCATACTGATGTTACCGTGTAAAAGGTTAACCAATTACAGGGGAAAGTGAAGCAAACCCATGCAATCCAGATTGCTTGTGATACTCAATAGGAAGGCGTTCTCTTGTCAATAATTATGATCTTATTGTAATAGGTGCTTGCTTTTTTTTTTCTCAATTTCAAGAGACCTTGCTCATTGTGAGAGTGTGCCTTGGACAGAATATTGGAACTTTCTTGGCTGTTATGCTGACTTAGCTAGTCCTCAGGGCCTGAAAAAACTCGAAGATTATTTCGCCAGCAGGAAGGAAAGGATTGTCTTAAGCAGATTGGCTGTTACACCTCAGAGAGTCAGAACTATGAAGAGTGGGTACAGTGTGTTAAAAACTCCAGAGTCAAGACAAAGTGGAGTTATTTTGCCTGACAGGGGTTTGGAACATGAAACAGCCTTTGCAGGTGCTTTACCCAGTTTTAATAAAAAGAACTTGTTGGATTATGAAGACAGTTCTCCCATGTTGGACAAGAAAGAAATTCCAGAGTCAAAGATGGAACCAGAAAAATTAAATTTTGAGGTGGAGGATGCTGCAGTGAAAGGTAAAATAGAGAATTCTAAAGGACAGCATATCATGGAGAAATTTTCAAGCAGAAAGGATGGGAATGGTCTAGTTTTAAGGACATCTCCAGATGCAGTCATGAAAGATGAGCTTTTAGAGCCTTCATTGAAAACATTGGGAAAAAGCATGGAAACACTTTGTCTTCATCTCGAGGAAGTTGAGATAAAGCTACCCACATTCAATGGTTCATTGGCAGAAAGTCCAGACAAAGATTTCCTAAACAGAAGCCATTCTACTGAGTTGAGTGACCAGAAAGATGAAACAGACGTAGTAGGGGATATCGTGTGCAAGAAAAAGCTGCTATACAATCTACAAGAACAAAAAACTAGCAATAATGGTGAAGTCTTGAGGAGCAAAGATGAGGATGTTTCTGATACTGAGCAAACAGACAAGAAAGACAAAGTGATGCTAATGAAACACAAAATGGACATCCCGGCCAAGGATTTGGATTCAACTGATTTGCAGTCATTAGTGGTGAATCAGTCTCCAGCTGAATTAAGGAAAAATTACCTTAAAGATGAAGTGATTGAGACTACAAGGTGTACATGTGAAGATCAGAGATTTAAAAATGATGATTTTAGAGTTTCAAGTGTTCTGGAGCAGAGCTGTTTTAAAGTGCCAGGAGAAAGAAATGTGGAGCATGCAAAGTCAGAGAGATCTGTCAATGTGGCTGGTTCAGAAAATATGAACGTCAACATTTTCATCCAGGGGTAAGTGGCTTAGTAGGCTGTTCCAGATTCAAGAAGAGAAGTACCCTCTAAAAAATGCATTCAGCTTCCCATTTGTGCTTTGTAGTCCAGTTATCTGGGAGGCATAGGTTTAAATCACACTGAGGCCTGAATTATTTTCAGGCTTCTTCTGTACAGCTGCTTAAATTACAGCTCACTTGGATTAGCATTGTTTTTCATTATTATTCCAAATTGTTCATACATATAAATGTGGGAAATGTTACACAAACCTTTCTTGGCAGCTGTCACAGCAGCCAGCAAAATGATGCTTCTGCCAATGTTTACCTGCTTTTGTTTTTCTTGTGTTTACTGAACAACAAAAAGCTTGGCACAGGCTTGCTGCTTGGGACCTTGAGTAGTACTTATAACTGGCCAGCCAGATAATTCTAACCACATTTGACACAAAAAGCAATTTGTTCTTTAAAGTGGCTATACGTCCAACAGGGTTTTTTTTATAGTTTTGGTATGTATTCAACATGTAAAAGAGTATTCTTAACTAAAAATTGGATTCTGAATGAGTCTTCGCCCTGAATTCAAGCTTTAAACTTCCCGCCTTGGCCACACCCATTGAAGGTGACCGTGAGTTGGGGCAAAAAAGAGATTAGGTTCAGAATGGGTCATGGCGTCAAGTCAGTAACACGCCAAATCCCGCCAGGGGTTCATTTCACTGTTTTTTTTAAGTAAGGAAAGAGTTTTCGGCGACATAAATATGCCCGATAGATGTGTTGTAAAAGCACTGCGTTTGTCAAGCAAAGTAACAACATGACACTCGAGACGCTCCTGAAATGACGTCACTCATCACCAATCTTCCCTTACGCGGTCAACTTCATTGGGCGTGGCCGAAGCGGGAACTTTAAAGCTCGATTTTAGGGTGAAGAGGCGTCAGAATCAATTTTTTGTTTTTTGAGAATGCTTTTTTACAGGTTAAAGAGATACCAAAACAATAAAAACCCTGTTGGCCGTATAGACACTTAAATTATGGAACCTGTCATGAAGACACAAATATCCCCATCACTCTGACTTACAATAGTCTATTCTGACAGCATGACTTTGCTTTAGTTTGCAGCCCAGTAAACTTGACCTTGATGTGTTAATTGCCATCGGTCAGACCAAGATTGATTCTGTGAAATATCCTTGTATCCAAGAATGGAAGGAACATGTTATGTCTTATTCTGAGGCAGCACAACAAAGGTAGCATTGTTTTTTTCTTTCTTTTTGTCTAATTAATTACCATTTCTTCTTTCATAGCCCCATGCCTCCCTTTAACCACCCTCCGTGCCTATTCCTGCTTCCCTTCTGTTTCTTGTCACCACCCTCAGTCATTCCCCTCCCATGCTTTCTCATACCTCCTCATTCTTTTCACCATCCCCTCCTTACCACTTCTATTTTGTCGCCTCCCTCCCTAACCCTGATCCTCTTTGCATTGCTTGATTTTTCTCTTTGTCCTGACCTCCCTTTCTCTCCCACAATCCTTGCCTACTCCCTCTATCCTTTCTACTATCCACTCCTCCCTACGGCATTTCTCATCTCCCCTTTGCTCCAGCATTCTCCTTTTGTCTCCGTCTCTAGTATCTTTCTTCCTGCCCATCCTTCTCTTTCCTTCTCTTTCCTCATCTTTCTTTCTCTTTCCTTCTCTTACCCATTCCTCCATTTCTCCCTTTGCATTATTCCCCTCCTCTGTTAAACTCTTACTCCTAGCCTCCCACCTAGTCCTCCTTTGCTGTTTTCCAGAATCATTCCTTCCTATCCCTCCCCCTCTTTTTTCTACCCTCATCCCCCACTGTTCCCTTTCTTTCCCACCCCCTCTCTTTTGGGTTTTGTCACATCAACCTCTACCTGCCATCAAGGCATTTTATCAGCGTAGTACTGATGTGACTCTTTTTTTTCCAGCTGGCCAAGCCCTGGGTCACCAAGATTTCACACAAGACACAAATCTCTAATGTGGAGTTGCTAACAAAATCAAATTTGAAGCAATTTTAGTTCAAGTTGGTAATTTTGGGATTTTAATTTGTAAAGGTGTTTCATAGTTAGATTTGACTGTTGTTTACTAGACTATGAACAAAGTGGGTAAGTTTCCAAAGAAACTGTCGTGCTGCGTCGGTGGGGGTAACAAGGTAACTTGAGCAAATGTTTCGCTCTGACGAAGGGCTAACGCTCGAAACGTCAGCTTTTTAACTCTTTACGGTGGCAGTTTCAACTTAGTTGGTGTAAACAAATTACCAGACTATGAGCTGATCCTCCTTTTCGGCGAAGTCTGTCGTGCAAGTAAAAAAAAAAACAGCCAAAAAAAGATTGATCTTAGCGCGCCACACAGCACTCCGAGAGTGAGGCTCATAGACTGTGTATCGTTTGTTTTGTTCAGCGGTCTTTTGTTCCTTTGAACAGTGTTGTGTTTCTTGATTCATAACTTAGTAACCAATAATCGATTTTTACGGGTTTGTCAATCAAGTACTGGCAGATTGATTTGGAAAACCCACAGAAGAGGAAGGGGAGCGAAGTTCAACTCTCTTGTAAAAAAAAAATATTTGTTCATTAACAATATGGTTTCTGTTCGTGTGAGTTGATCCCTGTAAGAGGAGTCGAATAAAAGAAAAGATTTTTTCTTGATGTGAATACAACTTAATCAAGACTCTCACAATTCCTTCGCCTCACCTTTTCTTTGAATTTTCCGCCCCAATCTCTGTTCGTGCTTCATTGTTTAATCTCTCGGCCAGTAACAGGAAAGTCATTCTTTGATCATGACATTCAAAGTTTTGTGTACCAAAGAGCAATCTTTAGCTAATTTATGTGCGTGAGTTAGGACTGCATCGAGTAATCTGCATCGAGACCTCTTACTCAACGGCCATTTTGAGTACCCAGGGATATAAAACTTTGTTTTTGTCCGTTCGAATCTCGCATTTGCTTCGATGCTAGACATACAAAAACAAAACTTTTTATCCTCAGATACTCGATTTGGCCAAGGTATTATAGAGGTTTTCTAGCTCTGCCTTACTGCGCTTTATTATTGGTCCAAAATAAGCCTTTTGTCACCTCCAATCAGATGTAAAACTAAAACGACTCTGCCACTTGGTAAGGCGCGTTTTCCCGCTCTTTGAGCCGGTTACATGCGTTTTCTACGGGTTCTCATTGGTTTTCTTAAGGTGTTTCTCTTTGAACTCATTGGCTGTTGTGATAACTTTGAGTTTCCTTTGATGACGCTCAAAAAAGGCGTTATAGTCCAGAAAACTTCGCCATGACAAGTTTTCCTTGCCGTCCGACTGTTATATTAAGATGGCGGTCAATTCGTCGACCTTGAATATGTCGCTCAGTTTTGTTTCTCACTCTGCTGCAGTGATGATGAACAATATGCAGGATTTTACAGGGATTTTTAACTGTAAAGCCTCCATACTTTCTAAAGTTGAATATCAAAACTCGTTCAATTCCTGCTATGTTTGGGCGATAGTCAATCTTGTCCAATAACTGAGGGGAAACTGGTGCGAGAAGTCTAAACAGAAATCCATCGTGAGACCCAATATATTTTGACCTTGGTCCACAAAAATCTCTCGCATTACAAAGACGGATATTTTCTGCACTTTCATGCCTGGTGAGGGCGTACATGGTTTTCCTACTCAATATACTTTCGTCAAGTTTTTCAAATCCTCTATGCACATAACAGTCAGCGTTTAAAACCATTGCGTTTTTGCGAATCAAACGTTTCGAGGCAAATTCGAAGGCATCTTTATAGCGCATGCGTCGACCAAGGATATTGAAGTCTAGCTTCCAATCTTGTTCCAAGTTCTGCCCTTTTATGAAAAGAGGGTCTTCGCCTTTTTCACAGAGGATATGAACTGCTTCGACCTACACGAAATAAAAACAAACATTTATTAGGTTTTACCAGCAAAAGCTTTCTGGAAACGTCTACCTAGTTGTTAATAGGAATAGAATGATTCTTTTTAATCTCGCCCCAGAAAGTGCTATGAATTAATTTGAATTCAGTGACACAACTAATGTTTAGACTCACATGTGGACTCAGAAGATCTTGTTGTAGACTGTAAATGTACTCTGCTTGTCGTTGTATCACGTGATCTACTGTGTTACCGGAAGTGTCCAAAACCGGAAACTGAATGATAAGATGTAATCGAGCGCTCCATGATGGAAACTGCCTCTTTGATTTGTTTAGAGCCAGTGCATGGTGTATTTCTTGTTTGATTGTGTTCGTGTTCTTATTTTTTCCTGTAGAAATACATTAAAAAAAGACCGCAGTTTTAGATTTTGTACGATTGATACTTGGTGGTATCCTATCGTACCCAGATCCTATCGTGTAATAATAATCTCGCTCCCAGGCTTCACTTTGGAAGGTCTGGGCACGAGACTCTTAAGATCATTAATTTCAAGTGTAAGGATGAAGTTTTCCATTCATTCTTCAAGAACAGGCTTTTTCAAATACAGGTCAAATAAAAGCCACAAGCCGGACAAGACAAACCAAATCATAAAATACTCTAGGTTCAACTTTTTTATCGACCTAGCATGTTTACATTCCAAAGACATCTTCCAGGATGCTTGGAAAACAACTTTTTCAGTCTCGCCCATCCAAGATGGTCGTCAAGGGTCTGGGTACAAATCTTACCTTCAGGTGAATGCATAGAAACATATTCATCATTCAGTGAAAATGTTGTCCTTGGAGTTGAACGCCCCAGCCAGCTCAAAAGCGACAAAAAGACAGTTATTCCCAGTAGAAAGATACAAGATGTCTGGCTTTTCCACTTGGCGATGATCTGCGCTGAATTTAATTTAGTAAAAGTGGTTAAATTATGCTAAAGCGCATGTCATAAAAAGACGAGTAAGCCAGAATATTGCGAGTTGCAGGAGTTATTTCGCAATACTTTGGGTGGAATCATGAATGGCTTTCAGTTCCTGCTTGGTTTGACATTGTGGGCCTCGAACATTAATTTCAAGGAGGTTTTCTTTTGTCACCCGGGTTAATTTCGATATTTCATCCAAGAAATGGCAACATATACAGAGGCATGTGGCTTTTAACGCGAAAACAAAAGCTTCTCACTGTGTTCTTCGATAAAGAGAATCGATGACGGATTTTAATAACTGACTCCCACAGACGTTCAAAACTTGTCGATTCCTCGCATAATATTTTCGCCTTAATTTTGAACAGTGTAGGTTTTACTGAATCCGCGCAAATCCAGTAAAATAACAAAATTTTCCAGCGGGGGTTGATGAAATATGTTGTACGTTGTCACAAACAAGCTATTCATTTGGACGTAATAAACTGGTTTGGTAGACTGTTTTTCTAAAATTACCATTCTCAGACACACATTTTACAAACCTGAGTTAGACAACGCATTCTATCACCACGATCGTTCACTATTTAGTCATCGATTTGAATCCATGATTATAAAAAAAAACTCCTTTACCAAGCAAATTAATGTTAGTATCCTTCCATGGAAATCGCTCAGTTTCAAACCGTCTGTCACGATTTAACGCCAAATGCACGAGGTGGTTTTAGCAGGTTGTTCATTGGAGGTGTATTTTTGTTACGCTCGACTGAGTAAAATCACGGGCAGAAGGTTTTTTTTATTTTTTACATTTTTTTAATTTTTCCTTCCATTTCAACAGATTAAAGTCTAAGGCCTTGGTCAAACGGCGCATAATAGTCGATGATAGTTGATGATAGTTAAAGCGCGCGCTTCCGTTTGACCACCAACTATCATGCACTATCAGCGGCTATCACCAACTATCATTCATTTTAAGCTTGTTCAAATTCTTCATGGTAGTCGATGATAGTTTTTCTCGTTTGAGCACGCGTTCATGATAGTTTTTGGTCATGTTTTTCCGCGAAAATCGGCGGGCTCGATTAAAATGGCCTCCAAAAGCTCCTCGAGAGGCTCAGCTTCAGCTTCAGAAATTCGTTTTTATACCCAAGATAATAATAATGAGAAAGAAAATATTGAAAACCAAGAATCTGGAGAAAGCGTCAACTCGGAGGAATTCGAAGAGACACCGCCGAAAAAAATGCGTTTCACTAAACGTTCAACGGCGAGATGGAGTAATCACCTGATATTACGTCTAATAGACGAACATGAGGCCCGGCCCTACCTTTGGAACATTTTTTCGAATGATTAACACAACAGAGATGTCACAGGCTGCTCGCGTGACTTTGCTCGCGCGACTGTCGGTGAACTATCATCAACTATCACCAACTTTTTTGGCCGTTTGACCATACGAATGATAGTTGGTGATAGTTTGAAGAGAATCAACTATCATCGACTATCATGCGCCGTTTGACCAAGGCTTAATGAACAATTACAAGTAAGATAAGAAAGAGGATGGAGAAGGGCATAATATAGCAAGCTAATTAGATGCCCTTTACCGTCTTAAATTACATTTTTTCATACAGTAAAAAGAAGCGATAAAATAAGATATAAGATACAAATGTAAGAGAGGGAAAAGGAATCACACCTTAAACAACAAATATATAAATACAACGTGGTCAGAGGAAGACATTAATCAGTACTGAGAAAGGTAATGTGAGAAAAGTGCTCTTTTAAAAAGTTTTTTAGTAAGCTTCTGTATAGATATGGAATACTATTACAATAGTAGCACCCTATAACTGTTGGAAATAATTTCCTTATATTTATTCTGAAGGGGCTAGGGTTCAGGTGCTGCAAAGATGTTCTTCTAGTGGCATAATCATGGATCTCAGATACAAGAGAAAGCGCAAAATTAGAAGATTTTTTGTCTACAATATGATCGTAGAATAGTTGACACGTACTCAATTTAACTATGTCAGGAAGCTTAATTAGGCCAAGGCCTACATAATGGGGAGTAACATGGTCGCGAATTGGTACATTATTGATGATTCTTATAGCTTTGTTTTGTAGCTATACCAACTGAGACAATGGAGCTTCGTAATTATTGCCCCACAATACGCAGCCGTATGTTAAATAAGGATTTACACTTACAAGAAATTGAACTGTTACATGTCGTTTCAATTTTGCGATTATATTTTACTGCTAATATGATCAATGTGATCATGCCATGACAGAAAGGAATCGATAACTAATCCTAAGTATTTAAGAGTGTGAGACTGTTCAAGGCATTGATCGGCTAATTTAAGGGGGAGGATATGAATTGTAATTATTTCTCTGTCGTGGTTGGAAAACCAGGTATTTTGTTTTACTCAAATTCGGGGTTAACTTATTTGAGCGTAGCCATTCATAGACTGGTGGTAGTTCGGAATTTATTCGCTGGATCAATACATCTAAATCACTACCAACTGCTGTTAAAGATGTGTGTCATCTGCAAAAAGTCTAACAGTAAAGTAATAGCTCTGACCATGTCATTTAAATAAACTATAAAGAGAAATGGCCCTAATATTGACCCTTGCGGTACTCCTGAAGTAAATATGAGTAGATATTAGACTCGACACCATTTACGAACCCCTTTTGTTTCCGTTTGCTTAAGTAAGACTTGAACCACTGGTTTTCACCGGCACGAATACCATATAGGACAAGTTTGGAAAGTAAAATAGAATGGTTAACTGTCAATGGCTTTGCGTAGGTCAGGAAATATAGATACAGCATAGCTACCTTCGTCAATAGCTTTAGCTATGTCATCTGCTAAGTCAACCAAGCAGTCAGTTGTAGTTTTTTCCGGCTCTAAAGCCAAACTGGTTCGATACAAGAATATTTTCCGCGTTGAAATGAAATATCAATTGATTAAAAATGCATCTTTCAAAAATTTTACTTAAGACTGAAAGGGCAGAACCTTACAAGTCATAAGCTTCTGTCACTGGTTTATGATATACCCAGGCGGGTACCTTGATTTATCAGACTATTCGAATCCGAGTTTGCCTAGAGCCATCATCTCAGCCAGAGAAAAAGCCAGCTGGAATCGATAATATTGGAGCCATGCCGACCTGGGGCTTGTTCTATTTGCGCGCAGTGTGTAAAGACGGGGTGCGCTAAAAAAGATCAATCTAGTCATAACAATCGAACTTGCCAGTTTTCAAGCAACAGTTGTTGTCAATAAGACGGAAACTAGTGGTGAATTGGGACAGTCTTGTCTGAGTTTAAACGCTGTACCGGCTGTCTGGGGCTTCGTATTCTGTCCGATCATTGACAGAAACTGTGAAACCGTACTAAACTATTCACAGTTTGACGAAACTACATTCAAAATTAAACGGAAACCTTTAGAAGCAGACTGAAGAGAAGAAAAAACCGTTGCAAACCGCGAGGGTTATGTATTTTCTTGGTGAAAATATAGCCGCCACCTTTAATTTTACAACAGGAGAGGGCTGGGGAGAGAAATAAATTTGTACGAAGGGGTGGGCGACGGTCAAATAGAAGGAAAAGGGAGGGGTGAGGCAGTAGAAATTACTTCTCGCCTTTCCTTGTCTCTGTCCTTTCTCGCTACTGTCCACTCCACCTCTAAATGAAACGTCGCAGAAATGCATCCTGGGTAATTGTCTCTCTCGATTTGAAATCAGACATTCGCTTTAAAAAAATGTTCCATACAGGAATTTTATCGACAGAAATAAACCTTACATACTCCACCCTGCTGTCCCTATGAATGATCTCATATTTCACAAAGTAAATATCTCTAATCTACGTGGTGAAATTCACTCGTATAAATTGAATTTCAAAATTCCTATAATTTATTCCAGAAATTGAAAATAGTTTTTTTGATATTTTCGGGAAGCACATTTAGAAAACCGTTTGGAACGTAACGATTCTTTTCTTCTCGCATTGGGTGCTCTAGCTTTCCTCGTGAATTCAGCAAAGACAAAAGCTTTGGAAAATGGAATATATTCAACTTAAAATTTCTTGTTAAATTCTATTCGAAGAAAACTCGTTCCTACAATCAGCGACAAAATTAGTCGACACATCATGTTTTGAAGAGTCCTATTCATTTGTAGAATAACACTCCTGTTTCTACCACACTCTAAATCATTAACAAGGCCCCCCGTCCTCATTCAATGTTGCCT